AAAACAGTCAGCATAAACAAGTTTGTTTGGTGTCGATTTTCTTGTGGCCTGACAGAGATATAAGCAACATGTAAATGGCAAGATATGAAGGATGGTGTGAAGATATGATTAATATTCAATCAAATCTTCAAGTAGGAGATTGTGGGATCTAGCCCCATCTTTATTTGGTTTTTTTTCTTTGGTTGCTAACAAGCAGTCTCATTGTTTTGACAAAAGCAAAAGGGGAGCCACTCATATTGCAGCTCCTCCTTTATTTGAAAACGAAGGATGAATCCAATTATTTAGATGGAGGCTTGCGACTCCTCTTTGACCTATGCACCGAAAGGAGCCCTCTTCTTTGACATTGTGTGATGCAAGGGCCCCCCTTTCTAGAAAATTGAGGTCATTCTCCCTTATAAATAGAGGAGGGAATGGCCTCCTCAAATCATCCCAAGGTTTCCCAAAATCATCAAGCAGATAGAGAGAATGAAAGAGAGTTTTTATTTTTTCCCCTATTCTAAGAGAGATTGTTGTTGTTTATCTCCTTAAATAGAGAGAAGATGTAATTCTTATTTTTTTCGTAGTGAAATTCTTTTATCTATACTTGTGATTTTTATCCTAAATTTATTTAGGAGTTTTGTACGTAAATCCTTATATCCCTGTTTTGTTATTTTATCTCATTTATTAACTACAGTTTTACTTTATCATGTCAATTATTTTCCCAACAATTTTAAATATGAGACGAGCGAGCCCTTCAGCACCTTCACTTCTACTCCTGGGATCTGCTCTTAACATTGAGTTACAAACATCAAAGTAAAAAGTCTTCTTGCAAGTTTCAGATATTATATCGGCTTGTGAATGGTATTTCAAAACGAAAAGTACAGATAGAAGGAAGAGCCTTCCTCTCATAGGAAGATGTGCCATCTTTTTCCCGCAATGAAAATGTCTAGAGGAAAGGTTGATTTGGCTAGATCATTTTACTGATCTCCTGCTTTCTGTGTTTACTTACTATTTGTTTGGTGAGATTCAAGGAGTCGGTAGAGTAAAATTAATGAATGATCTTGGAAATTTTGACTGCAGTAATTGGGTTCCAATGCAATTAAGGAGACATTAAAGCCATACCCAACTGGGATATTGAACATATGCATTAAATGCAACATAATATAATAAACCCAGAAGGAGATTTTCCTCGGGAAAGTCAATATTCTATTTTGGTCTCTTCTTCAACCTTCTGTGTTATAATTATAAAAAATTACTTTAATTTAAAAGAAAACAACAAAAAAAATTTCAAAATTAAGGCTAGTACAATCTAGAAATTATAAAGGAGCAAATATGACGTGGGTGCCAACGTATTCATTTTGACTAAAAAATTTATCTCTATACATATCTCATACTCAACCACATATTAATTTTAATACCATCCTTATCCTGATTGTAAAATACTATACTTATCCACATATCTATATTTTTTTAAACACAATTTATTTTTTTAAATAATATTTTTTAATATATATAATATAATTTTCGTCCCTGTATCTAAACAAAATTTTCATAAAAATCTCTAAACTCATTTTTATTTTTATTTTATAATATTTATATTTGACTGATAAAACAAAATTTATGGATACGTAAAAATGCCATTCCTAGCATCCTAATCCCAATAACAGGATTATAATTAAGCACTATATCGCCCAAATCTGAAACCATTAGGTGCGATTTATTGGCCACGTCTACTTACGGACATAACCTTCTGGAGGATGGTGGATACTGTCGGCTGTAAACAGATGTGAAGATTGAAAGGCTCATCTGCAACTTGGAAAGTCAGATTTATGGAGCCCACATCAGCAGTTTGGGAATCTAACGCGAGATGTTGGCCAAATACTTGCAACCACGGGTCTTAAGGCTCATTTGGCATCTAAAAAAGCTTTGAGTAAGCTTTTTTCTCTCTTTCTTTTTTGTACTGGACAAGGATTGATAGATATAGGTGAAAATGGCTCAAGATAGTGTTTGTTGAGTAGTCCATTTGTAGATTTGCTGGAACTCTGTTGTGTGTATATTGTTTTAAAAAATTTAGGTGACAGGAGACTTCCAATTTAGAGTTAAGATAAATTAAAAAATATAACAAGATTTTATAGTAGATTTATAAATCTTCCACTAAAGAATATATAGTTAGCAGGACTTGAATTCTTAACTTAATGATGACACCAACTGAGTATTAACTAACCAAACCAATTTTAATTAATTATAGTTCGATAAATTTAGAGGTTAAGAGTTTTGCATTCCCTCCTCCCTCCACTTGGAACTGGAGAGGTTGTGAGGCGACGTCTTGAAATCCAAGTTTTATTTACCTTGACATAAATACAAACAAAATGTTAGAACAAATAAGTACACCCTGCGTTTGCCGGGAGTCGAACCCGGGTCTATTGCTTGGAAGGCAATTATCCTAACCGTTGGACTACAAACGCTTGTTGGTTCTGTTGGCTATTAATTTCTATTTTAGGACTTAAATCAAAGAAAAAATCCCCCATTCAAGCCTAGATGGTTAAGAAATCTATTTGAAGGTTTGTTCTATGGCAATAAAAGGGAAAAGTGTGAACCCAAAGAAAAAGAAACATGAGAAATGTACCAGGATGTTCCCATAAGTCTCTTTGGATAGGGCAAGTTGTGTGTTTCCATTCATTTGCTATTAGTGGCTGTGTAAATTGGGCATCAGCTATAAATTGTCTCTCCCCCGTCCCTCCCCATTTTTCCCTTTTGTTCTTTGTCCTTCCTTCTGGGAAGGAAAGGGTAAGTGACACGGAAATGTAATGTTATTTCTTGTAACATGGTTCAATTTTGCAAGAAATAAGTGTAAGTTAAGAAATCCAAATGAAAAAAATAATTATTTTCTTCTAGTGCAATCCAATCATATGGTTTGGAATTGGTTATGGAAACTACCAATTATTCTTTTTTTTTCCCCTTCAAGTAAATAGAAAATAAACTATGCACTCAATATAAGTTGTAATATAAGCATAGATACAATAAAATTTCCTACAAATGGTTGTGGGATGCTAAGAAATAATTATCTAATAGTATATTTTTTTGTTTTTATCACAAGCATTTTCATTTATTTTATAATCTAAAGCTAATTTTATTCGAAATGTATAACTATTCATTCTCAAAAGTGTACTTTCACTAAATAAACTCAGCCTATTTATATGAATAAACAAGTATTTTATCATACTTACTCATATCTATTAGATTTATTTAAGTAGTATATTTGTATAATAAATTAATAAATTACGAAAGAAAAGAAATAGCTCTTTATATGTTAGGGATTTGGTTCAAGTATATGCTTCCCAAGAGGGCCGCTTTGCCCACCTAACATTCATCTTTAAAGAAGATGACGGGCACAAACCTTCATCTCTGGTGTGTTATATTTCCTTGTTCTTGGAGTTGTTTAATCTAATTTAGTACTCTAATTAATACCCCAATTGGCAAGAACAATCTTAATCAAATACAACGCCGCAAGCAAGGACAAAACACAAATAACTTGAAACCCAAGTGAGTGAAGCGGTGGCATCAACTAAGATGAAGATTCTCATTTGGGTTGTAAAAGAAGACGAGGCCTAGAGCACTGCCCTGCTTACTGTTCATATGAATGGGACGAAGCCTGCATCTTTGTAACTCCCATCATTCTATGTTATGCACCAATGCCCTCTATTCTACTTAACAAAATGACAACCACTAATTTGGCAACTAGCTATTTTACTGTTTAATATAGACAGTGGGGCATGCAATGTGATTTCATTTTAAATTGAAATTGCAAACACGCCCTTATATTATTACTTTTTTCAAAACACATCCCCTGAACTTTCGATTTCTGAAATTAGGTCCATGATTATTCATGTGGCTTACACACTGAGGCAAAAGGGCCTTTAGTCATGTGGCTTACACATTGAGGTATTGTCTCGTTTCGAAGATATCTTCAGTAAAGTCTAATCAAGAAAGGAGATTAAAGTAATAAGGCAAAAAATGCAATTTATTTTTCGTGCTTATTTTGGGTGCCGATGGGGTAACTATTTTGATATCCGTTTCAAGAATTAAAGTTCAAGATGTATATTTGTAAATAAGTGACAAACTGGGGACTAGCTTTGCATTATTTCCTTTTAAATAGAACAAAAAATGTTTCCAAGGTTAAGAAGAGCGTTCTCCATTTCTTCAGAGTCCCTTGAGAAGGGCATTTCCCTTTTATCCTCTTTCATTGCTAGCTAAGTAATTAAGTTGAATCAAAATTTCAGCCTAAATGAACTCGGCACTCTCACTTGCTCCGAAGCCTTGCAAGGCTAAATTCTTTACACGTAGACCTACAATCACTACGGCGAGAGCCGAGGTGGCGTTGGCTCCAAAGCAAGCTACTAACAAGAGCTTATTCGTCCACGAATTATCGGTTAAGGGGATTCCTCATGCAGATCTTCATGTGCGCGAGGTAGTCCAGAGGCAATCTCAGGCCACAGCTGATGCTTGCATAAAACCCAAGTTCTGTCCTGCATTCCTTGAAGATGCATACGAGAGATGCAGGAACATTTGTGCAGAATATGCAAAGACGTTCTTCCTGGGTATTGCAAAATATTCTATTTTCAGTTTTCATTTTGTGTTTTTAAAAAAACAGAAAACATTGAAAATTTTGAAAAATATATTGGTTACATATAGCTACCATTTTTGAGCCAAAGTAGATTTTAGGAATTCTAAATACAACTTTTATTTGTCTTTACATGTTTTCTGAAAGTTCTTCCAAAAACAAATTTTGAAAACCACCTGCCAACCTGGTTTTCTTCTTTCAGGACCAGAAAATTATTTGTTTTAGAAACGAATACAAACAGGCTTGTGCATTCTGTTTAACGCATAAGTTTGTCAAGGTGTTTGATTGGGATGTGATTGTGCAGGGACACAGTTGATGACAGAGGAGAGAAGAAGAGCAATATGGGCCATCTATGGTAAGAAATTAAGTCATTTCTTGACCAAAGGGTCGACAAGCCAAAATGAGAGTTTTTTTTTTTTTTTTTCCCCTTTTTTTGGGGTAGTTGACATGGTTTTGTGCAGTTTGGTGTAGGAGAACCGATGAACTGGTGGATGGACCCAACGCTGACCACCTGAGCTCTCCAGAGCTGGACAAGTGGGAAGAGAGGCTCGAAGACATCTTCAACGGATGCCCCTATGACATGTTAGATGCTGCACTCACTGACACAGTTTACAAGTTCCCCATAGACATCAAGGTACCTGGATTTTCATTTTCTCATAGTTTTTTGATAATTTTTTGAAGACAAAATTCTCTTCAGAAAAACCTGCCAAACTGATTTTTCCTTTTTTTATGTTTTTGAAAACCCTCTTGAAGACGTGTCTACTTCCAAAAAATTCTCAAGAGGACAATATCTCGAAACAACCTTCCCAATGTTTCGTAACATCTGATGCAATTTCTGTTTTCTTTTCTGCAATTAATCGCAGCCATTCAGGGACATGATAGAGGGAATGAGAATGGACAAAAGGAAAAACCGGTACCAAAACTTTCAAGAGCTCTACCTCTACTGCTACTACGTGGCTGGGACTGTTGGCCTAATGAGTGTCCCTGTGATGGGGATAGCCCCTGAATCTTCAGTTTCTGCTCAAACTATCTACAATTCTGCATTATACCTGGGCATTGGGAATCAGCTCACCAACATACTCAGAGATGTCGGAGAAGAGTAAGTCTTATCCCTTCTCTGAAAATTTCATGTGATTGCATGTGATGGTCTTGTCATCTTAATTGTTCCTTACCCAAGATGTTGACCATAATTCACTTCGTTTATTGCAGTGCCATGAGAGGGAGGGTCTATCTCCCCCAAGACGAACTCGCGCAGTTTGGGCTATGTGACGAGGACGTGTTCTCAAGGAAGGTGAGTGATGGGTGGAGAGAGTTCGTGAAAGTGCAGATCGCCAGGGCAAGGTTCTACTTCCAGCAGGCAGAGGAGGGAGCTTCTCAGCTTGACAGGGCTAGTCGATGGCCGGTAATTTCAATACAACACCCCTCTTACAAATCAAAAGATTAACAAATTTTTAAAGTGGAACAATCGTTAACACTTAGCGGCAAAAGATCACCGTGAAATTTTTTAAGGATATTATCTACCTACTGGAATTTTTTTGCTTTGTTTTTTTTTCTCTCTTTTCATGTTCAAATACCCACCAAATATTACAGTATGACAAGTATCTTTTGCTTTCTTTTACGTTGGTTCTGCAGGTATGGTCTTCCCTATTGTTGTATCGGAAGATCTTGGATGCAATTGAGGAAAATGACTACGATAACTTGACCAAGAGAGCTTATGTTGGGAGGACTAGGAAGCTCCTCATGCTTCCTCTGGCATACTCTAGAGCTATGTCAACACCCAATTTGGCTTTTCAGTATTAAAGTTTCTTCGTCCACTTGAGTACAGAAAAAATGTTTGATATATGTGTGTGTGTGTGTGTGTGTGTGTTACAGTGATTGAGCTATAATTTACATATAGGGGGGCGAGAAGGAGTATAAGAAGTAATGTATAAAATTTCTTTTTTTTTTTTTTGTATTTGCCATTCTTGTAGATAATTCTCAAATAAGACTATCATTTTGTCAATTTCAAATATCTATCTCTTTCAATTTTGAATTTAATTATCTAAAAAATATCCTTAAAATATTATGTATAAACTAACTTATTTCACGAAATTAGAAATTTAATAAAATATACCAATATTAGAGTACAATAATAATAGAAATACTGATGAGTCTAAATGATAAAGCATTTTATATTTTACCAAAAAATTATAAATTAAAATATTACTTATTTATTTTAAGATTAGAAAATCTAGATTAATGTTTAGTTAAATTTTAATTTTACTTTGGTAAGTTCACTTTAATAGTAATGGAAAATGATAAATACAATAAATTAGAGAAATAAGCGCATAGACTTATAAGGATGCAAGGGAATTGTTACTATTTTAATATAATTATTTTTATGATTTTACATTTTAATCCTTATAAATTTTCAAAACTATTCTTAAATATTTTGATTCTTTATTATAAACTTTTAGTTGTTATTTTTAATTTTCTCTTATTTTAATTTTATCTCTATATTTTTAATTTATTTATATAAGTCATTCTCTTAAATAGAGGGTGAAATAATTTTCTTTTGAGGGAGCAAAAATTATATTTATATACTAATAATATTAAATTAGTACAAATTTTTTAAATTGAAGGGGTGCCACACACCCCCTTCAATGTACTTAGATCAGTACCTTATATATATGTAAAGATATACATATATATATATATATATATTTCTCAAAATTCAAAATGTTCAAAAGGTTCACAGAGCATGCATGACAAATTGCCGACAAGCGTGACAGACAACACCCATGCATAGCATGATCACAAATTCTGTAAAAGTAAAAATTCAAGGCTGTCAAGATTCCTGAAAAATGACAAATATTCACATACTTAGCACTGTAAAGAAAACTCAAGTTTTATGTTTTTGAAGTCTAGGGTGTTCCGAATGTCTATATATATATATATATATATATACATATAAAGAAAAGAGAAGAAGTAGAAGAAGATTTGGTAGGTTTTATTGATACTTCGCAGATAATCAATGAAAATGTTGATGAACTTCCAAAACTCATGAATTCTTTATCGTTAATTCCTAGTCATCCCGGAATAACCAAAAATGTATTAAACCAATGTCGCGTGTAACGCATTTTTCTAGACGAGGAAAAAGATGCCAAAATTTTGGACTCTTGCCAAAAGCTTAAGAAGGGCACCAAACAATCCCCCAATTAAGAGGATTAGAATCACGTCCATTTTATTGCAAGAACCAAAAAGAAATAGTACCTATATGTTGTATATTTCTATTTCACTATATTTAATGAGCTAAATATGGAAAGAAAAAGACATAAAAAGGAATACCAGAATTTTCTAATTATCTACTTGTCTTAAGCTAATAAAAGATTTTAAATAACATGTAATACGATAGAATGATTTTTAAAAGAACGATAATGAAAGAGAATGGAAATAGAATGGAATGCAATCAAAATTTTTATAAGTATGTTTGGTACACACTGATGGAATAAAAATTTTTATTTTATCATTATATTTAGTATGTTAAAATAAAAGTAAGAAAGTAAAAAAAAAGTTTAAAAACAAAAATACCGCTTGTTATAAAAATTTAAAAATTAAAAAATTAATTTTTATTCTAATATTAAAATATCAAATTGATGTACATGTGTATTTGTATGTATATATATAATAAATTATATATGTATATATTATATTATATAATTTATTATATTATAATAGATATGTATAATATATAATATTACAAATACTTATATTTTTTATATATATTAGATATTTTTATCATTTACTTAAAAAATAAAGAATATTATAATAATTATATATTTAAGTAAGAATTTTATCTATAGATGAAATCCTATTTCTTAATAAATGTGAATTTACATTCCAAAATACTAATTAAATATATTTTCTTAAAATTTCTATTCTCATTCTTCTTCTTATTCTTCTTTCTCATTCATGCAATAAAATTATATCGTGCCATCCTCCACTTTAAAAATTCGCACTGGAGATTTGAGATGCCATGGTTGCTACTCTGCTGACCACCCATTAATTGGTCTTCGGACTTGTTTGGTTATTGGAAAAATGGGGGGAGAAATTGGAATAAAAGTCACCCCATCACGGGACAAATTGTCCCTCGCAAATAGATTCAAATATTTAATACCTTATCTTGTATTTAATCCTATTAATTCACTACCCAAAAAAAATAAAATAAATAAAACCAATAATTATTTCTAGTTTCCAAAATCTTCCGCGATATTTTCAATATTTCATGGCTAACAAAAAGCCTTTATTCAGGATTTATTATACTATTTTTCTAAATTAAAAGTTAGGAGTTAATGTATTGCTAAAAATTTTGTTAATCCCCATCCCCTTTTATTAATATATCAAAAAAGAAAAATCGAGAGGACACACCTCAATTTTTATTTTTTTTTCTTTTGTTTTTGATAAGAATATACTACTTTCTATTTAAATCTATTATATATTTGTTGGTAACTCTTATAATAAGTCGAGGTTGTCTAATTAGCAAAATAAAATTGACGAACACTTCGATACCCTTTCAAAAGAGAGAGTATCAATACAATTCGGACCTCTTTCTTGTATTTGCTTTAAAAATGATAAATTTTTTTTTGTCATTTTTTATGCAAATGCGCCCGTCCCGCCCCCGCCCCGGGGGGAGTCAAGTTCAATAAAATTTTCTTGAAAAATAAAATTGACGAACACTTCGATACCCTTTCAAAAGAGAGAGTATCAATACAATCCGAACCTCTCTCTTGTATTTGCTTTAAAAATGATAAATTTTTTTTTGTCATTTTTTATGCAAATGCGCCCGTCCCGCCCCCGCCCCGGCCCCCGGGGGGGGGGGGGGGAGTCAAGTTCAATAAAATTTCCTTGAAAATGAAGGTGAGGGGTTGGGTCAATGCATGAGAAGTTGCCACGTACTGGGTGCGGTGAATAAAGTCCACCTCATCAGGAGAGTTATGTTTTGGTTCAATTCTCTCGTCCTTGGGCACGCAAGTTACCCTCCCTGGCCTACTGTGACAATACCCACCTGCTGTAACTCCAAAATAAATAAATAAATAAATAAAAATACTAAAAATCTTAACGCCTTGTCCCCCGTTGTACTAAACTTCTACGACGTCTCATATTTGGCCAAGAAGAAGAAGAAGAAGTGATTTGCAGTCTCTCTCTCTCTTTGGTTGAATAAATTAATACATAAAGTATTATAAAATAGAGTATGATTGTTAACTTTGTTTCTGATGGTATCTTATTAAGGTTGCTGTCCTTCACGTAACTTCATCTCAACATTATTTTAACTCATGTAATAATTTGATCAGAAACAGTAAACTAATTTACTAATCTCTCTCCTTGTCAGTAGATTGCCATGTCCCCTGAAGAGATAGATTTCAACTCATTAAACTGAAAGCTACTTTTGGGCTTACGTAACTACAGAATAATTTATGGGAGATGCTATTGCTTCCAAGCATGTTAGGCTTGACAATCCCAATTTGGTTTTTAATGAACATGAAAGTAGAGTTTTCCATGGCTGTCCATTGATAAGCTTTTCATGCAAATTAGTCATTGGTAAGCAAATAAATTTGATTTGTTTAATATTAAATCATATCTCACTGGATCAGATGTCATAATATAAATTGGACTAATATCAAAATTTGCATCTGATTCTGATTGTTTTCTATTATTATGATAATATAAGAATATCAATTGACTTTATATCTCTTATATTTAAATTTTAGAAATCAAAAATTTTAATACACTAATAATACAGCTTTTAGAATTTCAAATACCTAATGCTAATAAAATTCTTATTTTAAAATTAGTTGAGGTTATAAGGAACATTTAGTTATTTTTGTAATTCAATACGTAGAAGACCTGTTTAGTATTTCAAAATGAGAAAAAGTAGGCGTTAAATATTATATTGGGTTTTGATCCTTAGCTCTCTTGGAGCTGTGCTTTGTTGCTTTTAGACAGTGGATTTGGAACCTCTCTATAATAGGTTTTAATGTGGTTGGGAGATTGAAATGGGAATTAATCTTGGCTAAGAAATGAGAAGATAAATATACATATATGTATATATGTATCAAATCCATGGATGTGATGTCTCCACCTCATCAAGAAAGTAAAGTTCTGGCTGCAGCATGTTGTCCTTTTAGTCCCATAGCACCGGCCTTCCCATTGAGTCATCAACCATAAGCAATTCTCTCATGCAACCTTTCATCTTCTGTTACGACTCATAACATAATATATTTTAAGGATTAAATAAATCAATTAATCAAAAGAAAAACAGAAACAAAAACCTTGAAAATGTGATCCGAGCAAATCCAAGTTGGCAAATGTTGCTAAGAAAGTCTAATCTCATCTCTAATAAAATAAAGTAATATTTTTTAAAAATATTTCTTAACAAATATAAATAGATAACACGTTTTGCAAATATTTCTTGACAAATATAAGCATTTGCTCAGCCAAATTAACTAACAAACACCTCTATTTAAAGCTTATGTAATTAAAATCTCCTCTTCTGTGCTTTATATCTCCTCAAATTCAAAAGATAATGTAAGAATACCAAGTTCTATGAAATTATAAAATATGATCACTAACCACTGTCATATAATAATTACTAAGTTTCTTATAAATAAATATAAGTTGAAATACTAAATTAAAATCTATAATATAATTTGTTAAGATTGTTGTACAATTATCAAACATTGAAGTCACTGTACTTCAATAGAAACAATCATACAAATATATTAATAAAACCCAATGAGTAAGGTGTAAGTGATAAAATATTA